TGTCGAAGTGTCGACAATTCAGTTGACAATCAAATGAAATATAATAATAATCCTATTATATTAATAATAATAAAATAATATAACACACCTTAGAAAATATAAGAATGGGACAGTGTCACTAGTGTCAGAGGCGTTACACTCGAAAGTTTACTTCATCATCATCATACGACGTTTCCACTTTTCAAAACAATGTTTTCCAGAAATGAAATGAATTTAAAAAATGCGGATACAAACAGTTTATTGCCAGGCATATTTCGCTGTTTCTACTTTTGCCGTTAAGCGACATGAGGAGAAATAACTATGTGATCCTTTGCTTGATCGACTGATTCTCATTCCATGTCGATGTAGAAATTTTAGTCTTTGTCAATGTTTCATTTCAACTTCACTGCAATCTGATCACCCCATACTTGCTCTGTTCCTGAGCCAGTAAAAACAAAGGATCCCAGATATGCTCAATGTACAGTCCTGACCCTCCGTTTCTGATCGCATATAGTGCCGATAATCCATCTGTGTAAACACGAACCCAAAGATTTTGCGGGTATTCGTCATCAAGTAGACTGAGGGTGGCTGTTTTACATTGTACACTGTTTTTCACTGCACACTGTTATTTACTTCCTTCAAATACTCCTTTCACTTTTGTCTTGATGTGTATTGGAAAATTATACTCCTCTCTCCAGGGGGGTCTGTTTTGGAGCAGCATTTAAAGGGCTATCATTTGCAGTCAGATCAGTGGTTTGTCTTTAGAGCTGTTTAGCCTAGTGAATTAAACTGCTTCTTTTTAAATCACCCTATAGCTAGATTTTGCAATTTTTCATTCGTAGGGTGACTAGGCATGCTTAGAAACTGCTATGCTTGTATTAGCATCTACGAGAACTGCAAACAAATAAGCCAGTAAAACGGATGTACACGCAAAACTCAGGTCAAGGTAAAATCCAAAAGTCCATTTGGATAAACGACTTACCGCCGGAATTCACAGCCGGTGAACAAGAAGAAGAAGAAGAAGTATTAGCATATTGGTGTCTCTGCGTTCACTCAGTACTTGGATCATACCAATTTTCTACAGCACAGCTATTGCTGTTGATTTCATACTGCCTGTTTTAACTTGGAATGGGGGGGGGGGGGGGGAGCTGAGTGGTCTCGAGGCATGGCATCTGCCTCAAGTGCTGGAGGTCCCAGGTTCAGGCCCCAGTGAAGGCTGGGTTTTTTCACGTAGACTTCTAGTAATTTCCCCTGGTCTCTGGCTAGTAAGATCAGACGCCCGTGTGTATTGTTGTGCACATAAAAACTTCACTTGGCAGTTGGAAATCGAAAAGGGGAGTCTAACAGTGCTGCCCGGGCAGAATTTGGAGTTAAAAATCTACCCAAAGTATTTCAGGAAAATCGCTGGTGCTACAGAGTTAGTGCACTGCACTGAGATTCTTCGGACTCAGCATAAAGTTTGAAGTACAACAGAGCACTTATGGGTTACTACCCTTCTGCCATGATGTTTATCAATTGAATAAACCATAACGCTGATCTGAGTGCTTGATTTTGCACTTTGTCTAATTCTTGAAGTGCAGTTTTGATGCTGAACTCCATGCTGTTGATCCATATTCAAGGTGTGGTCGAACACTTTGTTGGTAAACTTTCCTAAATATTTTCCCACTAGCACCCGAAGTGGTTGCACTTAGTTTTCTCAGGATGGCTGCCCTCCTTTTGGCTTTTGTTGCTGCCTTGTTGATGTGTTTTCTCCGTGCTAACCTATCGTTAAACATGACCCCGAGGTATATGGGTTCCTTATCCTCTCTCAGAGTTACTCCATTTATGAGGATAATGCCTGATTTTTGTTTTGTAGAGAGGCTGAAAATGGTGGTGCTACATTTGCTTATGTTGATGCTGACATACCATTTATAAGCACATGCAGCCATTGCATCTATGGCTCTTTGTAGCTGTCTAGTGGCCACTGTTGCATATTTATTTGTACACCAGAGTACCAAGTCACCAGCATACATTGCAGGTTTAATTCCATGGGGTAGTTCAGAAACTAGGTCATTGATATAGACTAGAAAGAATGTGGGGGGCAGGACACCTCCTTGGGGGACGCCATGGTGCAGCAAAACTTTCTTTCGGAACGGGGTGGGGGCGGGCGGGGGGGGGGGGGGGGGGGGGGGGGGTGGGTGGGTGATCTACCCAAAGTATTTCAGGATCCTTGCCGCTGCAGCAGAGTTCCAGCACTGCACTGAAATTCTTAAGACTCAGGCTTCAGTAAGAAGTAGAACGGAACACTTATGGGTTACACTTGTGTGCCATGATGTTGATCCGTTGAATAAACAAAAACATACTTATGCATAGTTGGTTTAAGCTGACCTTCACAGTGGCCAGGTGACAAACTCCTTGTGGTCCGGATTTACTCCCGGAGTAGGCAGAAAAGCCAAATTTCTCCTAGATTTACGGTACATATAATAGAATCAAGACTGAAGAGTTGCGATATCCATAGTAGTGAGCCAAAGGGTTTACAGCTCATGGTTTCTGGATACTAAAAAAAAAAAACTTACAACTTTCTTACTCTTGAATCCGTCTATCTGTACTCGGGCTCTTTTGTTATACAAGTATGCTTTCACCCATTTGTTCATATTCCCATTCACTTTGTAGATTCTCAATTTCATCATGAGACCTTCTTTCCAGACCTTGTCAGATACTTTCTTCAGATCTATCCATACTAGGGCTGTACCAAATATTCGCTTCGTATTCGCTTCGGGGCCGAATAGTGGACCTAATAACTATTCGGTATTCGGCCGAAAAGTTGCGGTTGGGCCGAATAAGAATAGTCATTACCTCACACCCGTTTCAGGACTGGTAGAAAATAAACATGTCAAAATTTCCCACCTTGATTCATACTGTCAAGCGTTATGTTTGTGCACCACCTACGAGCGTACCAAGTGAACCTCTGTTTAGTACAGCTGGAAATACCTTCGGTGAGACAAGAAGCTGCCTTAATGCTGACAACATGGAACGATTTTTTTTTTTTAAAGCTAATGCCGCTTTCATGGATTAACTAAGCTGTCAGTGACAATTTACAAGTTTAGTTGCTTGTTATAAACCTAAGAATACTTACATTCCTAGGTATTAATTACCACAGACTGACTGAAGGATGCAAAACATGAAATGTTTTTAAATGTTTACTATTCTGTACTACATTTTGTGAAGTAAAATTTCAGTGTACATTTGACATTATTGGTGTTTTTTTTTACACTTTTCGAAAGTGGAAGAATGGGCCTCAGTTTGAATACTGAGAAGACAAAAGTAATGGTGGTATCAAAGAAAATAACTATTCCTAAATGTGTAATAAAAGTCAATGGTTTTATTTTAGGACAAGTACAGAAATTTAAGTATTTGGGCAGATGGATAACATCAGATGGAAGATGCATTACTGAAATTAGAAACAGAATAGGACAGGCAAAAACTGCATTTTATAAAATGATAACATCTTACGCAATATATTTTTGTCATTGAAGGTTAGAAAAAGAATTCTTGCTTGTTACATACAGTTTTAACATATGGCTGTGAGTCCTGGACAATCGGTAGGCAGGCCAAACAATTTCTTGAGGCCTCAGAGATGTGGTTTTACAGAACAAGGCTTAAAATACTTTGTATAGCCAAAAAAAGCAACCAAGAGGTTTTGATAGAGGCGGGAGCCCGAAGACAACTACTCACACACATCAGAAGGAGACAGTCATCATTTTTCGGCCATGTTATAAGATAAGGGAAAATGAAACATGTGGTGACCACTGGAAAGATATTTCGAAGGAGAGACAAAGGAAGACAACGAGAGAAGATTCTTGAGTCTTGTTGCATGGCGTGGAGGTGTGTCAGCACTAATACATGCTGCAGGAGATCGTAGATTGTTGCGAGGCATAATCGCCTATGCCAGTCGGAAAAGCACCTGATGATGATACACTATTTGTATTCGTATTCGGCCGAATAGTTGGTCCAACTATTCATATTCGGCCGAATAGTGAAAATCACCATTCAGTACAGCCCTAATCCATACTGCTAGCACCAGCTTCTTTTCCTGGAAGGCATCCTCAGTTTCTTGCGAAAGGTGAGTTGTCTGATCTTTATTGGAGCAGCTCAGTCTAAAGCCTGCCTGCTGCGGCATGAAGATGTTTTCACTTTCCAGGTACCACTGGAGTCTGATCTTGACAATGCATTGAATGCTTGAATGTTATGATAACAGCATCAGTTGGAATATAAGTGCAGTGGCTTGTTGACATCTTGTTTCTGTGTCCCGATTTGCTCTCCCGTCCTCCGAGAATTTGTTTAAAAAGAAATTAATGCCATTAGTGTCTATATTTACCAATTTTGTAGTGTAGGTGGGGAGAGAGGAGTGGTCTTTGAACCTGAGAGTTTATGGCCGCATGACTAGTGCTGTCACCATGGAATGTACAGGTTAGGATTTTCTTTTTGCTCCCGATATTTAAAAAAAATCCACAACCTTACATTAGAAACCATCCCCCCCCCCCTTTTTTGTGTGTGGGTGTAAGCAAGAATAGACTCACTGTCTCTCCAATAAGCATGTCGTAGGAGTCAACTGATTGGGGTCAGTAGGAATGGTAGAGAGCTTTAACCAAGAGGAATGTATGTGAATAAAAGTAAAATATAGGAAGAAGAAAAGATGATGCACAACAAATCAAATAAATAAAGTAGCGAAAATAGTCATAAAAATAATCAAGTAAAAGTACCAGAAGTATCAAAGGTAGCACTAGTAGAAATAATGGTAACAATAACAGTAGTGGTTTTAATCATAGTATCAAGAATAAAAATGCTAATGAAAAATAAATAATACACGTCTGATTGTTCCTTTGTGTTTTTCTCCTTCCAGCCTTTGGTTAGCTTCAATGGGTTAATGTTTTGAAACTAGCTGGACTGCAGTCACTCATCTTTTTATCACTATATGTGTGATACTTTTACTAATTTATTAATTCTCTTTCACAGATTGAAGGATCTGTTATGAGCATATGATGGAATCAGAGAGATCTGAGGCAGTTTTGACTGCTGGACAAATCTCTTCAGATGTTTCAAACAATCACCTGGCAGCTGAGTCTGGTTCATTAGGAAGGAGTTCTCAAGGCAGCATATCTACAGAGACTGTTGTCTCAGAAAAGGAGCATTTCAAGTCTGCGGATTTGCGTGAAGCCAGAAATGAAGATGAGAAGGGTATTGTTGATAAAACTGAGGAAGATAAACTACATGAAGAAATGAAAAGTGTGACTAATTTAGGATCAAAAGGTATAAACATTTTTTTTGGGGTCTGTTGAAGTTGCTCTAACATCTTTACAATTATCGTCATTGCTGTAGAGCTGCACACATTTGTGCCTATCAGTTTCTGTCGTGGACCACTCTCCACATGCTTATTCTTCTCCTGTAAGTGTCAATCCTCTTTTGTTAAAAACCATAAACTGTATGATGCTTCTCCAGTTTAGTCAGAGTAGACTGAAGATTGACTGATTGGCACCTTTCTGTCTTTCCAGACGATAGTGTTATATTGCGCTATAAGGAGGCATGAGACTCACAGCCCATAGCGATGGCGAGTGTGACTAGCAAGACACGCCCGTGTCAAGAAAAGTCTTCCACAATGATAGCATGGGATTTCAGGACCATTGTTGTCAACATCTGTGTTAAATCCATTTCTTTTCAGACAGCTCTCATCCTTTCTGCAATCATTTCTTCCTTCACTCTCATTCCCCTTCTAATATGCCCTTTCCAAATAACACGGTCCATGGCATTTTGTTCCCATTAGTCCACCTCAATACCTGTATCATTCGTGTCCCATTTGCACACATCTTTAATTCACCATAAAGGATGTCCTTAGGGACTCTGCCATCCTTCATTCTCCAGGTGTGACTCAGCCACCTGAGCCTTCGTAGACTGAGCATGGAAAAGACTGTTGTAGTACCCACTCTTTCCAGTACTTCAGTGTTTGTGATTTTGTACTGCCACTAAATTCCCAGTATTCTTCTTAGGCATCACATGTGAAAGCTATTAAGCCGTCTCTCCTGGTGCTAATAGGTTGACCAAGTTTCATAAAGCAGAGCGCTGAGAACACAAGCCTGATAGGCAAGGGTGTTTGTTTTAATTTTGAGCTTTCTGTTCTCCCAAACTCTTTGTCAATCCGCTCATTGTTGTTGCTGCCTTTCCTTTCCTGATGTTGATTTCATGGTCCAGCGATAGTTTACTCTTCACTGTGGAGTCCAGATAGGTAAAATGGTCTACTGTTTCAAGCTCTTCACCGTCAATGTAGACTGTAGGTGAAGTTCCTCCTCTCCATAGCACAAAGCCTGGTCAGTATTGTAGAGACAATATGTTGCCCATGGCATGATGCTGACCACATCACCCATCTTGTGCCGATTGGTCTATAAAAAATATAGGTCTAGCCCTAAATGCCCTATACGACTAAAGACGTGGAAAAGGGTCCTTTACTTTACTTTTTACATATGTTGCCCATGCATAATGATCCCTCCCTCGACCTGCCTAGTTTACTCCAAAGGAAAGGTAAAACCAGTATGTTTGGAACAAGGCAGGCTGCAGAAGCTGCCTGATCAGAAGAGCAGGGCTCTATGTGTACGCCAGACTGAATAAATATGGCTATATATATATATATATATATATAATAAAACAAAATTTGTATATTTGGCCTTCGTTAAAGTTATACATTTGTGATTTTGTTACCATTATTTGTGAGAGTAAGAGACAAATACCAACATTTTTCTGACATGCCAACTCCCGATGTAAGTATGTTGGGGGGCATAAGGAATGTAGCCTAAGAGACAAAGAGCGAGAGGAAAGAAGTTAGGGACTCTTACCCATGCATTGATATATATTGGGTACTTGATACTAGACCCCTACTTTTGCAGACCAATCAGGATAAATGGGTAATCTGACTAATAACTTGCCACCCACCTTTACTTCAAATGTTTTCTGGTACCCATTTTGGGCTTAGTCAACCTTAGAGCCCAAATATATTTGAAAAAATTCTCGCCTGGAGAGCTTTGAATGTATACTTATCAGGAAAGCATGCTAAGTATTTCATTGCTACATCTTCTGAGACTAAGGAAACAATTTGGAGAGCTCCAATTTATATGCTTTGAATCAATATAATTCACTTCTGGATGGCATAAAATGGAGGATTAGGTATGGCAGAATGTTAAGCTTCAAAGTTACTTTTGCTTCCGACAGAACTTTGCTAATGTAGTTTTCACATATGGATGGTAGTCTGTTGTTTCGCTAACTTACTAAGTTTAGTGCTTGGTGCAGCCCTGTGAGCTGTGTTTTTCATGTGAAATGCTTTTCATTTGTGCAGTGGTTGGGTCATGGTATGAAATAGGGTCGGTAGGCGGTTTACGTGTGAGCTGGAGAAATACCTTATATAATACTTGTAAGTAGCCAACTTATCATGCCTGACTACTTCCATCAATGACAACCTGCGTTTCTGGTGGCGACTGTTGACTTTGGTGCCTCTACTCTAGCAACAAACAGATATATGCACTTACTGTGTTCGCATGTTTCTGGATTGTTCAGGGACTAATTGTTTGTTCACCAGTTTTTCCAATGCGACAGTGAGGGACATTTCATTTGATTTTCACTGGCACAGTAACTGAGCAAGTGTGGGGAAACCCGATCACAGTGAAGTTGAAACCTCAGCTAAGACTAAGACCAATCAATATAATTAGAATATATAAGGGTGGTCCAAGATAGAAACTGATAGGCACAAATCTGGGCAGCTTAGCCGTGCTAAAAATATGAAGTGCTATATATATAGCAAACAGGGCTACATGTTTCCCATCTGTTTTCTTCTTTCCCACTTAGCTTCTCATAAGCTGCCAGAAAAAGAGGGTGAGACAAATGAGTCAAACAAGCCTGTAAACAAAAAGGATTCAAATACTAAAGCTAAAAAGAAAAGGTATTTATTTTGTTGCATTTTGTTTTACAATATTTTGTTTTCTTTCAAATTATGAAAACAAAACAGGACATGATAGTGACAGCAATGCAGTTACAGAGTTACAGTTGTGTTGTAGAATAAATAAAGTGAATATTTTACTCTACAGATCCCTATGTGGGTTGCGGGATTTTTTGGGAGTGGGGAGGGGGAATAGAACCACTGCCCGCTTAACAAGCATGTCATACAAGATGACTAATTAGGTTTGTTTTCTTTGAAGTCGGAGTGCATCTGACTGAGAGGCCAGGAACCAGTAGTCTGCATATAATGCAGCCAGATCATTGAAAGGATGTGCTTGCGAAAATTGAATTCTGGAATATGACCAAAGTCCAGAAGTCGATGAACAGCCAAAACTTTCATCCGGAGTTTACAGCTGGTGAATGCTAAGAAGAAAAAAGTAGTAGTCTACAGCAACCTTGAAGAAAAAGAGAAGGTAACCTTTTAATGCGCATGCAACATCGATGGATGATGTGGTTGTATTATTCTGGTACCTTCTACTTCCTTATCTAATACCTATTGAGTTGACCCTACCTAAAATAGGTAGGAGTTAATGTAGTGGGAAGTAAAGGTAGCTGGCGTAATGTTAACCACATAAACCATCAAGTACCGATTGGTCTTTAAAAATGTAGGTCTAGCCCTATATGCCAGAGCACCAGAGACATGAAAAGGGTCTTTTGCATTTTGTTTAGCGCATGAGTTTAAAAATAATTACATGTAGATATTAAAATGCTTTAGTGGGAAAGCTTTTATTTTGCTCTTGGGCTGATCCAGCCCTATAAAATGGATTTCGAATTATTGTGTGTGAGTGAATGAAAACCAGCTTATACACTGCATTGGAAAAAGCACACTGGAGATCTTACATCCTCCCTCATCACTTTGATGAATGAAGTGACCGGAGGAAGAGAAGAAGAAGTCTGTGAGTGAAAGAGGTCAGAAAGAAACTGGTCATCTAACTTTATTCAATAAAATATTGTATATAAACTTCCCTGTGTGGGTTCTGGGAACCTGTTGGGGGGGGGGGGGGGGGGGGAGAATAGATCCACTGCCTAACCAAAAGCATGTCATAAGAGTAGACTAACTGGAAGTTTTCCTTCAAAGTCGGAGTCCATCTGCCTAAGAGGCAAGGAACCAGCAGTCTGCATACAAATGAGTCAGATCTGTAAAATGGATGCACACACACAACACTCAGGTTCTGAAACAGGACTGCTGTCCAAAAGTGGATGAACCACCAGAACTTTCTGCCAGAGTTTACAGCTGGTGAACACGAAGAAGAAGAAGAAGTATATAAACTGCACTCTGTTACATTGCACAACCTTACCCATAACTGGACTGCAGGCCGCTCCAGGCTTGGGCAGTGGTTAACACTAAATAAATGGGTCATGACCCCTCAGGAATACTGTTAAAAATTATGTTAAAAACAAGAATTTCAAACAGGTCACAAATAGATTTTGTAAAAATGTATTTATGTACATTTGTTGTCCACCCCCCACACTCCCTTTCTACCTTTAACAATATTTAAAGGTATGTAAAGAGAGTGACCAATAAACGTAAAGAGAGTGAAGCATTAAATATAATACATTTCCCTGAGGCCTTATATATATATATTTATAAGAGGTGACTCATGCCGTGACCCTTTGACCTCTATCACTGAGGCTTTGAGGAGAAGTTGATGTCAGCTTGGCTTTAAAAAACCATTTAGTTTAACCATACCAGACTTGAGGCCCTGAACCTAACTGCCCACTATACCTGAGCTTCTGGGCATTAACATGAAAGAATATTAGTTACATGCAAACAAGTGGTTAGAATAAGATGAAACTTGGAGAGATAGTAGAAAATAGGTTTACCTTTTATCTAGCGCCAATATTCCACCTTTGTGGGCCAATCCACCCAGCAGGATCGGCCTTGTTTCACAAAGTGAGCACCAGATGTTTCTGTTTGAGGGACACCTTCTCCCCCCGCTCCCTTTATCTTTTTATCCATCTAGTTTTAAATCTATAGTTTTCAAAATTCTCCTCATCACTCGAGCTCTCACTGTCTGTGTCACTTCAACTGGGAACGTAATCTGACTCCTCAGAGTCTGAATCAACAAAGGTATTGATCACCTGTTGAACTGAAAAGCCTAAACCTATTTCACTTTACTGTCGAAATACTTGGTTCATTAGCCGCTCGTTTTATTGTGAATTTTCAGAATTTTTTCACGTTAAACCACACTAAGTAAATCCAAATACACGTGGGTAGACATCTGGAATGACAATCCATGAGGTCTGACCACTACTGGCTAGTTATTTTTAGTTAATGACGCATTGTTTTCATGTAGTACGCAAAGTACCAATAATGAGGTACATCGGTTTAGCAGCAGATTAGAAAATTACTGCAGTAGCGTTACATCAGTCTGGTAGAGTTAAAGGAACCCCCCCCCCCCTTCCCTCCTCCCGCCAAATGCTTTTTTTTTTAAATTTAGTTAAAATGTTCACATCCTGACTTCATAAACATTTGTGCAGGCATGAACACAGCCAATAGCATTAACTATTCATCTTGTAAACAGGTCACTATAGGCAAGTCAGAAAAGTAACATTTACGGAGAATTGGCCCCAGCCTGCAGTGTCAGTGTTGTGGGTTTTCAGGGCGACAGGATTAAAGGTGCCCCAATTCTGTGGAGGTTGAACAGTGTATTTGAAGATTTGCCCTGGTGGCTTGCCATCCAGATTGAGATTACAGTCTCAGCTTGGTCAGATTTTCAGGTAACAGTCCAGAGAGGGAAAATAAAAGGAAGGACACCCTTACATCATCATCTGTAATTTGTTTCGTTTTACATTATTGTTTTACAATTTCCCAGTTTCTGTACAATTATTCCCATCCTTATCTGTTAATGTTTTACTTTTTCCTAGTGTTAAATCTTTTTGTTTTCTCAAATGTGATATTATTAATAAAATAAATGCATCACATAGCTGTATAAAAAGACATCTTTTATTAACAAACCACATTTCAGAAATAAGAAGCTGAAAAGAACAACTGAAAAACGAACAGCATTTGATGGTAGAAAAGTTGTTTATGTAACAGAATGTACTCAGACTGACTGGAATTGGAAAGACAAGGCAGAAAAATCTGGCAAGGGAACAGTGCCTTCATCTTCTGCGGCTCCTTCACCAACTGAGGGTATAAGATGTTTGTATATTTTACATAACTTTGTGAAGATTTTACCTGTGTTCACTTCATAGGCCGATATTGTGATAGAAGACATGAGGTTAGATTAAATAACATGCATGTAAGAATGCGTGAAATAGGAATTATGTGTGGATTCGGCAAGGATGGACGAATGAGAGAAAGAGAACAACATGGGTATAATAAGTGTGCTACAGGAGCAGTTAGCATCTACACCTTAGAACATTTGCTGTGGGAGACGGAGCATCTGTGGTTATGCACCGTTTTTCTATGATCCGGATGTTAAAATCAGTATAGACAATGTACATACATACTTTACTGTTAGGCAGTTCAAGATTGGATGTACGTGTACTTTGTCAATAGACAGTGTGGAGATTGTGCACATATCTGCATCTCTACTAGATATTGTGAAGATTTTAGTGTACGCACACATACTTTGTCTTCAGACTGTGTGACACCTATATGCATATGAACTTCTTCTTCTTCTTCATTTCCTCTTTTACCGCTGTGGGTGTCGAGGGAGATATAAGGTTCTGTTTCTGGCTCTTCTGGCTGCCTCGACCATAGGCACATCGTGCTGTTGTAGAGCTTCTCTGATGTTATCCTTCCATCTTGTTCTTGGTCTACCTCTTGCTCTACGACCTTCTTCTCTTTCCATGTATGCTTTGTATGGTATGGTGTATATAAACTTCACCTATAGATATTGTGAAAACTTTAGTGCACATACTTTTTCTATTGACAGTGTGACACCTGTGTGCTTATTTACTTCTTCTCTAGATATCATGAAGATTGTGTGCATATTAACTCTTTGAGGCCCGAGCAACACTATGCGTGATTTTTAGATAATGCATTTTCCAATTTATTGTTCAAGTGGCCAGAGTTACCAATGTTCCGAACACAATCACAGACCAAACGGTGCGCCCTTCTATGGCTGAAGCTCTGAAATTGTTTTAGTCAGATGTTTTCTAATAATGAAACATTGAAATTTTGGGAAAGTGATTAAGACGGTAAATTTACACCAGTGGCAGCTGAGTGGTCAGCTGTCCGTTGTGATGAGGTAAATCCATGAGGACTCATTTAATTTACGAAGGATATGATATCACCCATGTTTGCATCAAAAGGACTGTTTCATATAGTATCATATTCACACTATGGCCAAGCTGCATTGAAATCATTGCAGCTAATATTAAAGTTAATATTTTAGGAGGTTATTTTTCTGCCATTGTTTTCTTTGAAATTTTGTTCAGCACTCTTCAAGAACCTGGTGCCTCTGAGTGATAAACTAACCCAGAAACATATCATAACTTTTGACTTTGTTAGGAAACTGAAATTTGGATATTATTTGCACTTGTGGCTCAGAACCACGGTAACTGAATATCTTTTAGGTATAATTTTATCTTTGTAAACATAACACCTGCTGAATTCTTTTTTTTTCCTACTAACTAAAACAGTATGAAACAGAAACATGTCATCAGATTCAAAATTTACATTCATTTCCTTTAGGGACTAGAAATATATTACATTCTCAGTTGCCTACACCGCCCCTTCTGCCATTTTTGTAAATGGTAATTAATGTGAGCCAATGCCTGTCAAAATTCATGTGCCTGAAAAAGTTAACATCATCTGTAGATATAATAAAGATTGTGTACACACATACTGTATCAGTAGACAGTGTGAAGATTTGATCATATTAACTTTATTTGTAGACATTGTGACAGTTTTAGTGCATGCTTTATCAGTAGACAGTGTGACAGTTTTGTGCTTATCAACTTCATCTGTATCACCATGTGGGTTCTGGGGCCCCATTGTGGGGAAAACAAGAATAGACATACTACTTTCTCAACAAGCACGTCATAGAAGTCGACTAATTGGGGACTTCCTTCAAAGTCAGAATGCATCCGCCTGAGCGGCAAGGTACAACGAACTGCACACAAATAAGCCAGTAAAACAGCTGAACATGCAAAACTCAAGCCCTGGCACAAAGATAAAATCTGAATGGATAAACAACCAGGACTTTCCCACATATGCTGACAGCCGGTGAACAAAGAAGAAGAAGAACTTTATCTGTAGATACTGTGATGATTGTTGGTACACATACTTTCACAGTAGCCAGGGTGAAGATTGTCTGCACACTTAGACTACCTGTGTAAGGATTGTCTGAGCTTAGTCAGTAGACAGTGTGAAGATTGTCTGCACACTTAGACTGTACCTGTGTAAAGATTGTCTGAGCTTAGTCAGTAGACAGAGTGAAGATTGTCTGCACACTTAGACTGTACCTGTGTAAAGATTGTCTGAGCTTAGTCAGTAGACAGTGTGAAGATTGTCTACACTTGGACAACAGTACAACTTTTGTGTGTACAATATTACTGAACAGTATTACTGTCAGGTTCTGTGTTACGTCAGGTTTGAAATTATTTTGTCTTCTGCACTTTATACAGTTATACAGTCTACCATATTTTTGGTCTCTTCTCTGCCTTCTGTCATAAATACTTGACTTGTACATTCAAATAACAGAATGCAACGAGTATCACCATTGTTTGAGATTTTAGATATTCTCTTTCTTGAAATTTTCCCCCCCAGAAAAAATCACATCAGCTGGTTCTGGACATGTATCTCAAAAATCTTCTGGAGGTAACAGTATATATAATTTTATATAATCTTTGATTGTACAGACCCCGCAGTGTGCCTGTCAAACAGGTCTACAAACACCTGAGCATATTCTGCAGACCTGCCCACTATACCTACAGCTTTAAAAAGAAACCTGGCCTCAGGAGCAAAGTGTGCAGAGCAAGCTGTGGGGAACCACGAAGGATCTGCTGCTGACATGCGAGTTTATAGAGGCAACCCAACTGATGGTCTGATCTGAGCATGCGAAACCAAATGCAAAGAAGAAGAAGTCTTTAGCTTCCTCATTTTCACTTCTCTGCTTTTGTATGATGTCGTGTTAAGTTATGCGCTGAACTCAGAAAAGAAGGCTTCAGACTTTAAAGTAATTTAATGTAAGACGAACGAATTAAGAAATGACATCACTGTACTCAGGGCATTCCCACAAATATGCTGTCCCCTTCATCAGCAGCCACTGAAGAATACCTGTACAGATAGTGAAGGCTGCAGTCTGATTAAAAGAACATCTTGTCTTTTCCCAGTGAATTGTTTGCCCATCATACCTCAGTAAACTACACGCCTACTGAGTGCATCATATTATGATTCCTAGGTAAAACCCCATTTCTGCAGCTTCCGCATAATTTCTCACCAATCTGCTTATTATCTATGATTCGTTTTGGTATATCAGGATTGGCTGAGTACAGAAAGACCCTTTTCCATGCCCTTGGGTGTTTGGGATATATAGGGCTAGACCTTTGTTTTATAGACCAGTCCTCACTCCGTGGGTGATGTGGTCAACATCACGCCAGCCACCTTTACTTCACAGGACTTCACCTGGTACCCATTTAAGGCTGGGGCAACCCAGGAGCAAAGGTCATTTTTGAAAATAATCTGACTCAAGGCAGACATGAACCCATGACTTTCGGGCATGAGGGGAATGTTGCCTCAATGTACCCATGAAAATATTGTTTGTAAATAAATTTTTACAAGTATAGACCATTTTCCTTCTCCTATCGCATCTGGCATATAGTAGGGTGCCAATATTTTTCATAGACTTACCAGCCCCCTTTACTTTCTATGATTTTTGTGTGTAGCAGTTTTATGCATGATTGGTCTAAGAACCCTGGTCCTTCATGTCTTCTTCTTCTTTGGGTTCACCAGCTGTTAACACTGGCGGAAAGTTCTGGTTGTTCTTCCACTTCTGGACTGCAGTCGTGTTCTTTTTTACATTTCTGACTCATTTGTATGCAGACTGCTGTTCCCTGCCTCTCAGGCAGCAATCCGACTTCAAAGGAAGCTCCCAATCAGTGGTCTCTCATGACATACTTTTGGGTAGGCAGTGGGTCTATTGGATTGGATTGGATTTTTTACCCCACCAGGATATCACACAAGCGATAAACACCCGATGACACAAAGTGCCACCATGCGGATGAGGATCACCGTGGAGAGGTCCCAGAAACCGCGTTCAGACATTTGGCCATAATGATGACCTGCCTATATTGCGGCCCCTGGCAAAAGCCAGAGTGGGGCTTCAAATAACAAAAAATAACGTCCTAAGAAGGACGAAAAGAAGATTTTGTGGGTCTATTCTTGTTTCCCCCACAATAGAGCCCCAGAACCCACACCAGGAAATCCTTCATAAAAAATCCACATTTCATTGTGATTTTTAACCCTAGATCTTTGACAACAAGCAATCATGCGGTCACAGTAATATTTATAGCAATAAATGTTTTTCTTTGATCTGCAGCAAAATCAGACTCCAGACAGAGTTTGGAACAGACTCAAGGTGAAATGGAGAACAGACAGGAAATTATAACAGTGACAGATTTAACTCCCTTCTTTTTAGTGCCAGATGATGAGTTTGGCATTCCTGTTGTAGAGCTGAGTTCAGATTCTGATGTGAGTGGTTTAGTGGTTTCTTGTACTTTTAACTTTTTAAATCTCAGTGTGTTTTACAGCAGCTGCACTAGGGAGATGTTTTGTCAGGTGTCTTGTCTTGTCTTGTCTTGTCTTGTCTTGTCCACAATTGCCTCACAGCATAGTGGGAAGTCGCAGTTTTCTATCCTGGGTCAGGTGTCTTGTCTTGTCCACAATTGCCTCTTGCAGGGCGTAGTGGGGAGTCGCTCGTTTGGTCTATCCATCAAGGGCCAGGTGTGTTTGCATGTGTTGTTTTTAGTCTCGTCTTGTCTATGGCAGTATTGCTGTTCGTGTAGCTCGTAGAGGCTAGTTGGTCGTTTGCATGGCCAAACCCTGCATGCATGGTGTGGTTCCTACAATTGCTCTAATGCCGAAACATTGGCAGCCTTACGTAAGCATTTCATTTCGCACGTCGTGATCTTTTTCTCCTGTGCTCTTGTTAGGGGCCAGATTTGGCATTGGTAGCAGAGGGTTTGTATAAACATGCAATTTATCAGTTGTCGTTTTAGTGCCATAGTGATGCTTGGGTGTTTTAGCAGTCAGGTGTTGAAGCATGATTTATGTTGTTATGAGAAGATGCAAGAAATATCATGGAATGATAGGAAAACATGCGCCTTCCTCAAGAAGATCATCATCCTCTATACCAGGGCTATTCAACTAAGTTTACTCAGGGGCCAATATTTGGGAAATGGGGATAGTCATGGGCCAGATGCTCAGTCCCAACATAGAAAGAGTTTTAATGCAATACAACTGGCAGGTGATCTGCGGGCCACATGTTAGGCCTTCGCGGGCCAGTTTTGGCCTGTGGGCCGCCAGTTGAATAGCCCTGCTCTATACTGTATGCAACATAGGGTCGCAGTCTGTTGTTCCATTCTATTTTATCCTGCATCCTGTGCAACAGTTTCAGTATCATGTATAGAATTCAGTCCAGTACTTTTGGCCTCTATTAGAAACATTTGTCTTAGGGTTTCTTTTGAGAGTCCTCAGTCCATTTCTTTCCTGTTCAGGTATCTGCTTGATGATTCTCTGTTTGCTTCTCCTCAGAGACAGAATAGACTAAAAAAACTGTTGACAAACTTACAAACTTGACCAGCCTTGCAGTGGACACAGCATATGAAGGATGCCCTCAAACATGAAAGTTCACAAGGCAGAAAAGTTGGCGGTACTTGTTAGGTTGTCTGCCCCAGAAAGAGAGTGACTTCCCTTCCCATTCATGCCTCGTCGTGTCGCAGGGTCTGTCCTACTTTGCGGTGGTGTCACGCTTAGTAAGCGTCCAGCAACACGTCGCATTTTACTTGTTGCTGTCAGCGGCTGGCGATATCGCATGTTCTGTATTCAACAATGTGATTGCTTTTAACAGTCCCAAAACATGTAGAACTGGCCCTAACCCCAACCCCCTACCCCACAGCCTCAGCCTATGTCCCACTAGAGAGTGCAGCTTATGTTCCACAAGAGAGTGCAGCCTACATCCCACGAGAGAGTGCAGCCTGTGTCCCATGACTGCATGCAGCCTGTTATATACACTGCATACAGTCGTGCAACCTAGGGGTAGAGGGGTTGTGGTTAGGGCCAGTTCTACATGTTTTTTTGGCTGTTAAAAGCACTTGAATGGTGGAATATAGATCACACAATATCACCGGTCGCTGACAACGAGTTAAACGCAACATGCTGCTGGCCGCTCACTAAGCATGACACCCCCGCAACATAGGACAGGCCGTGCGACACGATGAGGCATGAATGGGAAGGGAAGTCACTCTTTTTCTGGTGCAGAAAATGTTACTATAACCCAGTTGACCATAACTCAGTGGGCTGTCCAGCCTGCTATGATGAGTGGAAAATTCTACAAAGGACCTGCTACATGATGATGATTCTTCTTCGTGTTCTCAGCATTACAAAGTGCGTTCGCAGCCTCTAATCCACAGACACCTACTTTCGGGACAAACAAAGAAGAAAAAGAATATAATCATTTTGCATTTATGATTGAGCTATCTTTTATATCTTCATATTGTGCAATTTAGGCATCATAAGGCACTTATGGTTGAGTTATCTTCTACATTTTGCAATTTCGGCATAATAAAGCACTTATGATTGAGCTATCTTTTGTATCTTCATATTTAGCAATTTAGGCACCATAAAGCACTTATGATTGAGCTATCTTTTGTATCTTCATATTTAGCAATTTAGGCACCATAAAGCACTTATGATTGAGCTATCTTTTGTATCTTCATATTTAGCAATTTAGGCACCATAAAGCACTTATGATTGAGCTATCTTTTGTATCTTCATATTTAGCAATTTAGGCATCATAATGCCCTTATGATTGAGCTATCTTTTGTATCTTCATATTTAGCCATTTAGGCATCATAAAGCACTTATGATTGAGCTATCTTTTGTATCTTCATATTTAGCCATTTAGGCATCAAAATGCACTTATGACTGAGCTGTCTTCTTTATCTTCATATTTTGCAACTTTAGGCTTCCAGTGAAGAACCGTATGAAAGACCCAAGTATTATCGCCATCACCTGCCATCTGTTGGTCCACCTCAGATTCTCAGAGTAAGTACGTTTGTTACATACAGGTGTTGTGTAAGTAAAAAAAAAAAATATGTTAGTCTTTAAGAATTTGACTGTTTACATTTGATTTATCTAAGGTAGAATGTGAGTTTGAGTGTCGTTTGTATTTGAAATGATTGCTCAGTCGTTTGTTGTTTTTGAGTTAGTTCAATGATTATTTGTAACCAACGTTTAAAAAAAATTTAAATTGATTTATTTAAGTCAGATTGCTTAATATATAGCTATTTCCTACTTCTGTGTTTATTTTTAGCCGATCGTGGATTTGTTATTATCATCATCAAGTGCCTTTAAATAGTCTGCAGTATCTTCTATATCTGTTCAGTACAGAAATGCTCCAGTATCATACTGGGCCTACGATAACAAATTCCTATTTATAGTCCATTTTGGACTAATAGATGATGTGGTCACCATGACTCTTCCTGCCTTTACTTCCCAGGATATTTCCTGGTATCCATTTTAGGCTGGGTCGACCTGGGAGTCATGATAATTTTTTGTTTATTAAACATCCATCCCAGTGGGGGTTTGAACCTAAGATTTTCAGGCAGTCATTTGAACCTAAGACATTTAGGCCGTCAGACAGGCTAGCATTAGCCATTGTGTAACCACAGCTCCCACAGAAACCTGTACCTTTTCACATTTCTTCCTTTGTTTTAAGATATGATATAAAGTAAGAAAAAAAAGTAAAGGACCTTTTTCCATGCCTTTCAGGCGTATTGGGCATATAGGGCTAGACCTATATTTTTTATAGACATACGGCACAAGATGGGTGGTGGGGGGTCAGCATCACGCCAAACTAATGATATATCTGACTTTATTTATTTATTTTTTAAATTGATCTCTGATTGCTTTTGTTAACCAGAGTCTGAATCTTTTTTTTTTTTTTTTTTAATCAGTATGTGGTAAATTTAATTGTGAATATTACCTGTAACAGGATAGTCTGTAAATGTAGTGTTACACATGAGACATTCATTGGTATGTGTGAAGAACAGTCAACCATGTATGATACATTGATTTGTTTTTTGTTAAGAACAGTCAACTGTATATGATACATTGTCAGCCACATATGATTTATTGATTTGTATATGTGAAGAACAGTCACCCATATGTGATACATTGATTGGTATAAATGAAGAACAGTCAGCCATATATGATACATTGATTTGTATATGTGAAGAACAGTCACCCACATATGATTTATTTATTGGTATATGTGAAGAACAATCAGCCACAAATGATACATTGATTGGTATATGTGAAGAACATTCAACCATATATAATTCATTGATGGGTGTATTTGAAGAATAGAAAACCACATATAATACATTAATTGGTATATGTGAAGAATAGAGAACCACATATAATACATTTGTTGGTATATGTGAAGAATAGAAACAGCACACATTGATTTCTGTATGTGGAGACTAAAGAATCATATATGATACATTAGACTGGTTGGTATTTGTGGAGAATAGAGAACCACATATAATACATTTGTTGGTATATGTGAAGAATAGAAACAGCACACATTGATTTCTGTATGTGGAGACTAAAGAATCATATATGATACATTAGACTGGTTGGTATTTGTGGAGAATAAAGAACCACATATAATACATTTGTTGGTATATGTGAAGAATAGAAACAGCACACATTGATTTCTGTATGTGGAGACTAAAGAATCATATATGATACATTAGACTGGTTGGTATTTGTGGAGAATAGAGAACCACATATAATATACTGGTTGGTATATGTGAAAAATAGTCAGTCAAACAGCAGATATTGACTTCTGTATTTGGAGAATAGAGAACCATATATGATACATTGGACTGGTTGGTATATGTGAAGAATAGTCAGTCAAACAGCATACATTGGTTGGTATATGTGGAGAATAAAGAACCACATATAAACTGATTGGTATGTGTGAAGAATAAAGAGCCACATGTGATACATTGGTGGCATATTTGAATTATATTGTATTACATATGATACATTGATTGATATATAAGAAAAATAGTCAATCACATACGTGAAGAATAATCTCATCACATATTGGTTGATAAATGTGAAAAATAGTCATTCACACATTACACATGGATTGGTACACATAATAAATAGCAAATCATTCATCATGTTGTGCTTGGAGCAAACAGAGGTAATGGTTTAATATTTCACTGAAAATCAACTCGTGTTTTGGCTTCGTACATCTTCTAGTACATTCGAGAATCGGAAATACTGGAAAAGACAGAAGGGAAAGCTAATGACAACTGGGATCACCTGCAGAGAGAGCCTAGCTATGAGACACCTGCCTTTGAGGAACATGGCAGTTCACTGGGGATGTTCAGTGGGCCCTGTGAATTTTGTGGTATGTTAGTTATGTGTGAACTCTGCAGTTTTGTTTCTGTCTGTGAAATAGGTAGTTTTGTAGTACTGATTTTGTGTGTGAACTCTGTCATATTATTTCTGGATGCAGACTGTGCAATTTTGTTTCTGGGTGCAAATTCTGCAGTAGTGTGTGAATTCGGTAGTTTTATAGTACTGATTTTATGTGTGAACTCTGTAATATTATTTCTGGATGCAGACTCTGCAGTTTTGTTTCTGTGTGCAGTTTCTGCAGTTAGTTAGTCTTTCCTCTTGTGTCGAGTGCGACACATAGGGCAGAGGTCATGACTCTCCATGCATGGCGGTTCGTTGCAATCTGTTGTAGGTCTTGGATGTTTGAGTGGCCCATGAGCGAGCCTTCCATGATGATAGTTCTACGTAGAGTTTCCCTTGGTCTTACACAAGATCTTTTCCCCTGTGGTGTCCAAATGAGGGCTTGGTAAGGAAGTCTTGATTTATCCATTCTAAGGGCGTGGCCGACATAGTTCCAGCGGCGTTTTCGTATAAAATTAGACACATACTCTTGCCTGGATTCTTGCCTTATTTGTGTATTGGTTCGGAAATCTGACCATTTGAAATTTAGTATTCTTCTAAGGCATTTATTTTCAAAACTGTCTAATTTTGTTTCTGCAGTAGTGTGTGTGAAATAGGTAGTTTTGTAGTATTGATTTTGTGTGTGAACTCTGTCATATTATTTCTGTATGCAGACTCTGCAATTTTGTTTCTGTGTGCAAATTCTGAAATAGTGTATATGAAATTGATAGTTTTGTAATATTAATTTTGTGTGTGAACTCTGCAATATTATTTATGTATGCAGACTCTGCAATATTGTTTCTGTGTGCAAATTCTGCAGTATTGTATGTGAAATAGGTAGTTTTGTATTTTTTTTTTGTGTGGTGAACTCTGTAATACTGTTTCTGTGTGCAGACTGTGCAATTTTGTTTCTTTATGCAAACTCTGCAGTATAGTTTCTGTGTGTGAAACAGGTAGTTTTGTAGTGTTGTTTTTGTTTGTGAACTCTGTAATACTGTTTCTTTATGCAGACTCTGCAGTATTGTTTCTGTGTGTGGAATATTTGCTTCGTTTACTTTGCTGACAAAAGTCCAGTGCCTTCTAAGATAGTAATGAGAGGGTGGAGGGGGAGGATATGTTATTGTTTGGAAGGAGAGTCCACTCCCAAAAAAACTTTAAAAATCTGAGATATTTGTGTTTTTCTCTTTCTTTCTTTTTTTTTTTTTTGGTGTGGTTCTGTTCTTTTACCTACCTGGACAAGTTTGAGGCACATTAGGTTTGCCTTCTACTAAAAAATCTGTCCAAAGAACTTCTACCTTCTCAGGATGTTTTGGAAATGTGACATTGTCTAGTCATTCTAGACAATGCTATTACAGCTTGTCTGGTTTTTTTTGAGGAGGCTCTGCAGAGTCATGTCTGGCTTTGTCTCGAGACAGGTAAACAAAGATAGTGTTTCTTTGCCTTAACTAATTTGGACTCAGACAAGTTCATATTCCAAACAAAGGTTGTAAAACAATCACAAGTTTTTGTGTCTAAACAGGACGTACACCAAGTTGAATGTATACCAAAGGGAGGTATCACTATATATTTAAATTATTAGTGTCATCCTGTTCTTGCAGCTTACTATTCTGTTTTATCCTGTCCTGTACAGTTGTATCAGTATCATGGGCGGAGTCTAGTCCAGCATCTTTGGCCTTTCTCAGTAGCAGAGGATATGGAACAAATATTTCCATACATGAGTATACCAGCAGCTAATTCTTCTTCTTTGCGTTCACCGGCTGTAAACGCCGGCAGAAAAGTCTGGTTGTTCATCCGCCTCTGTAATTTAGACTTGTTCCAGAACATGAGTGTTGCGTGCACAACCGTTTTACATATATTACTTTTTTTTATGCAGACAGTTGCTTTCTTGCCTCTAAGGAAGATGCACTCCGACTTCAAAGAAACTCCCAATTAGTCAACTCTTACAACATGCTTGTTGGGAAAGCAGTGGGTCTGTTCTTGCTTTCCCCACAACAGGGCCCCAGAACCCACACTGGGAGGCAGCTAATTAATTTAGTGATGGAGAATGGCCTCGGACCATACACGTTATCTCACAGCCAGCTAGAGAAGCTGGAACATGTGGAATGAAGCTTTGCAAGTCATTCTGTGCTCTAGAAGGCATATACCAATTGTGTGCATGTAGCACATAGAAAATGTGCCTTAAGGTCACAGTGGACAGGGAACACCTTCTACATGAGAGGCTGAGCGAGACCAAGGCAAGGACTAAAGAGGGGTTGCTCATAGATGGCACATGCAGAAGTAACTGTAGAGAGAGAGAGAGAGAGAGAGAGAGAGAGAGAGAGAGAGAGAGAGAGAGAGAGAGAGAGAGAGAGAGAGAGAGAGAGAGAGACATACACACACACACATGCATGCACACACACACACACACAAAAGATGAAGATGATTGCTGCAGTAATATGTAATATTTTCTGTTTGCAGGCGTGGATATAAAACCATTCCCTAGCCTTGATCAACAGCTGTCCCAGTCTCCAGATTCTCTCTATTGTTGTGAAGAGTATCGTGAGTTTGTTGAGTTTGCTACAACCACAGCAGTCAGGTGTGTGTCCAGCAGCAAAGGGCTCTTTTGTTTTATTAACTTATTGCCATATGATATACCAAACAACCTCTTCATCCTCTTCTTCTTCTGCACTTTACCCCCCCCCCCCTTCCCCCACTAAGTGAGTAAACTAATAGTTAGAGTTCTTTGCATGTTTTCTCTGAGGTATGCAGGTGTGTTGGGAAATAAACTGAAGGACAGACTGGCTGGTTCTGCACCACTGGGTGATGAATTGATGCATGACAAGCTAGATGTGGTCAAGGCCCTTTTGTTAACAAATGAATAATGCTGAAGCACAGATAGATCATTATAGTTTGGAGAGAATCATTCAGCAGGGAGTGACTAGGGGATCTGGCCAATATTCTTGTTGCTAGTTGAGGTTCTGACATCACTGCTGATGGGTTGCCATATAACTGCTCCATTCCTGGCTCAGGGGACAAACTCAAAGGCAAGATTGACATATTATCTAACTGTTGTTGGTACCATCATCACTGGAATACTTTGCTGGCTGCTGAAGATGGGGATGGAGATGGAGATTTTATGGGAATGTTGGTTCTCAACTCAGCTTACCTCTGGAGAATCTTCATCTTCTTCTTCTTCCTCTTTTTCTACTTTTCTCTACTCCTGGAAAGCCTCGCGACGTCAGGGCAGGAAGAGATTTCTGGAATGGGTCTTTCTGTTTGCTTTGTTTAAAGTACATTTCAGTGTCTCTAATATTTGCACTACACCTATATAACAGCTTTGATACTAGTTACAACTGCATAGTGTATAGACATGTTGGGTCTGATTATATTTACACACACATTTAAAAAAAAATTGGTGGGGGTGGGGGGGGGGGGGGGGGGGGGAGGTTAAAAAAATCATATTTCTGTTAAATTATGACATCTGTACATCATAATATTCTCATTATGATGCCCTTTGTTCCACGTGGTAAAGTCAACAAAACCCTGTTTATCATGGTCACATTTTGTTCCACACGGTAAAGTCAACAAAACCCTGTTTATCATGGTCACATAATGTTCCACATGGTAAAGTCAACAAAACCCTGTTTATCATGGTTACATTTTGCTCCACATGGTAAAGTCAACAAAACCCTGTTTATCATGGTCACATTATGTTCCACATGGTAAAGTCAACAAAACCCTGTTTATCGTGGTCACAGGGAAGGAAAAGAGTTACTTTTTTTTTTGCTCTGTTCGTATGTAATGATGAATCCTTTTACTTTAAATAATTATTTTCCTTATAAAAGTGAATTAAAAAAATGAATATACATAATTTTAGTGATTTTACGGCTGCGATGTCGCAGCGGCCATCCAGCTTACCTGACTGCTCGCTAGTCATAGGTTTCAACCCCTAGATTTTTATAAAAACTGACTCCAAATTTCTTCTGCTTCGTCTTCTCTTCCTCTAATTTCTTTTTAGGGTAGAGTTTATGAGAATTAGAAGGATGCCTTTCTTTTACATTAAAAAAAAAAAAAATCAGCCATTTTTAAAAAGATTTTTACAGGGCAAAAAGATTAACTTGTAACTTTGTAGTTCAAATAGTACGTGGGCAATTTCATGTAACTAAAAGGAAGAAGAGTGTTATATGTAAGTTAGAGTTACAAGAGTGTATTATGATGTAATTTAGAGTTACAGGAGAGTTTTAGAACCTCAGTTCTGACGTACAGTGGTGTATTAAGATGTAATTCAGAGATACATTAGGTCAGGTCTGTGGCTAAGTTGTTGTGAATGTGCTTCATAACTCTGAGGTACCAGGTTTGATCCCAGCTGCTGTGGGTAATTTGGCAGCAGTCTGCTTTGATTTCAACTGCTATTGAGAGCCAACAGTTCAATGGCAGTGACAAACTACTGAATGCCGCATAAAATCATAAACAGCTCCCCCCCCCCCCCCCCCATGCTGGAGTTAGTTCTGCAATGATCCGTAAAGGATATTCGACTAAATTTAATTTATTTGAATGAAGGATATGCAGCTAAATTTAATTTATTTGGATGAAGGATATGCAACTAAATTTACTTTATTTGAATGAAGGATATGCAACTAAATTTACTTTATTTGGATGAAGGATATGCAACTAAATTTAATTTATTTGAATGAAGGATATGCAGCTAAATTTACATTATTTGGATGAAGGATATGCAATTAAATTTACTTTATTTGGATGAAGGATATGCAACTAAATTTTCTTTATTTGGATGAAGGATATGCTACTAAATTTACTTTATTTGGATGAAGGATATGAAACTAAATTTACTTTATTTGGATAAAGTATATGCAGCTAAATTTACTTTATATGGATAAAGGATATAAAACTCAATTTATTTTATTTGGATGAAGGATATGCAACTAAAATTACTTTATTTGGATAAAGAATATGCAAATAAATTTACTTTATTTGAATGGATATGCAACTAAATTTACTTTATTTGGATGAAGGATATGCAACTAAATTTACTTTATTTGGATAAAGGATATGCAACTAAATTTACTTTATTTAGATGTAATTCAGAGTTAAAACTTATGTATTAGGATGTAACTCAAGAGTTGCAGGATTGTTTAAGGATATGATTTCTATGATCGCAAGAGGTACAAGTGTATAACATTTAACTTTGAAACACAAGAGCGTGGCATATGCAACTAAAGCACAAGAGTGTGACATATGCAACTGAGGCACAAGAGTGCACTGTGATGTAACTCAGAGGTTCTCACTATTTCTGCTTTCTCCTAATTTCTTCAGAATGGAAGAAGAGAAGATAAAAAACCAGCAGCAGATCAGCATCAAAGTTCATGCACACTACGGCAGTGCTCATGACAGGCATCTGGCTAAAGAAAAGGCTGTGCAGCGGTGAGAGTTGATTGGTGCACTTTTACTGTTCACATTTGTTGTTGTTGTTGTTTTTAAAAATTTATGTTGGTATTATTTTCAGTATCATTAAAATCATTCTCATTTTCATCATTGCCATTATTATTTAAAATCATAATTGTCACTGTTATCATTGTCCTTTTTCATTGTTGCCATCATTGTGATTCTCAGTGTCCCCATTCTCGTTATCATTACCAGCATTGTTGTTATCATTATCAACATTGCTGTTCTCCCTGTCCCAGTTCTCATTATCAGCATAGTTGTTCTCATTATCATCTTCACAGTGGTCACTCATTTCATTTTAATAATTATCATTGTCATTATTAAAATTGTCATTGTATTATTGTCATCATCATAGTCATTATCATTATTATCATGGTAAGTATCATAATTGTCATTATCATCATTGTCAATATAATAATTGTCATTATATCATCACGGTCAATATCATAATTGTCATTGTCATCATCATGGTCAATATAATAATTGTCATTATTATCATGGTCACTCTCATAATTGTCATTATTATCATGGTAAATATCATAATTGTCATTATTATCATGGTCAATATCATAATTGTCATTATCAACATGGTCAATATCTTAATTCAAAACAATGTTTTCCCGTTATGAATTTAAATAATGCGGATACAAACAATACATTGCACAATTTGCTGCCAGGCATATTTCGCTGTATCACATCAGGTGCGTTACTACAGAGTTACATCAACATAAAATATAGCACAAAGCTGAATAAATTCAACTGAAATGCAAATAGTTTCTTCGATACATTGTCTCTGTTTCATGGCCGCCGGAAACTCACTGTAGTCACGTGACTTACCAGGGTAACTTCAAATTTACAATAAATTCCGTCTGCTTACAAAGGAAGGGGTTGTTGATTTTTATTGTTAAGACTTCGGCAATTCTCAAAAGTCTCCTGTTCGGAGTGTGGTAAACCACAGGGAAAGCACTGTCTTTGTCAATTATGTGTCTGGAATTTAGTAGATGATGTCCTATGGAGAAGCAGGTTCTTTCAATTCAACTTTACTACTGAATGCGTACCCCATAGGTTTCATCAAACGTCATTGCACCCAACCAAACCCCTCCCCAAACGAAATTACAGTATCTAAACTACGAGTTAAACTTACTTATCGAGGTGATGACGTCATGCAGCGTCTGCAGGACCAACTGGAAACAGCAGTTTGCCAAACATTCTTTACGGCTGTTCCAGTTATGAGGTACAAGACCACTCCTATCCCAACCCACTTATTAAACAGCTCCTTTCTCCATACACCAGATCTAATTGTATTTACCAATTTACATGTAAGTGCCAGTTGACTTACATCGGTCGAACAGAGAGACAGCTTGGAAATAGAGTGGCAGAGCACATACGCAGATGGCTACATACACAGCTCAGTGATTCTTCTAGGGTGTCGAGACCAGTCAAGAGGAAAGAACCCACTTCTTCCATAGGACATCATCTACTAAATTCCAGACACATAATTGACAAAGACAGTGCTTTCCCTGTGGTTTACCACACTCCGAACAGGAGACTTTTGAGAATTGCCGAAGTCTTAACAATAAAAATCAACAACCCCTTCCTTTGTAAGCAGACAGAATTTATTGTAAATTTGAAGTTACCCTGGTAAGTCACGTGACTACTGTGAGCTTCCGGAGGCCATGAAACAGAGACAATGTATCGAAGAAACTATTCGCAATTCAGTTGAATTTATTCAGTTTTGTGCTATATTTTATGTTGATGTAACTCTGTAGTAATGCACCTGATGTGATATAGCGAAATATGCCTGGCAATAAATTGTGCAATGTATTGTTTGTATCCGCATTATTTAAATATCATAATTGTCATTATTATCATGGTCAGTATCATAATTGTCATTGTTATCATGTTTAATATCATAATTGTCAATATTATCATCATGATCAATATCATAATTGTCATTATCATCATGGCCAGTATCATAATTGTCATTATTATCATGGTCAATATCATAATTGTCATTATATGATCAATATCATAATTGTCATTATTATGGTCAATATCATAATTGTCATTATCATAATGGTCAATATCATAATTGTCATTATTATCATGGTCAGTATCATAACTGTCATTATATGATCAATATCATAATTGTCATTATTATGGTCAATATCATAATTGTCATTATTATCATGGTCAGTAATATAATTGTCATTATTATCATGGTCAGTAATATAATTGTTATTATAATCATTGTTAGCATTATCACCAGCACTGTAGGATGCAGTGGACAATAAATGCAGTGAGCAACTCTAACCTCAGAAAACTACATTTAATTTAGTTCAACTTTCTTAGATAAGGGTGGTCGGGGGGGTGTTGGGTTAGTTGCATGCGTGCATACTCACGCACATAATTGTCATTGTTATCATGTTCAATATCATAATTGTCAATATTATCATCATGATCAATATCATAATTGTCATTATCATCATGGCCAGTATCATAATTGTCATTATTATCATGGTCAATATCATAATTGTCATTATATGATCAATATCATAATTGTCATTATTATGGTCAATATCATAATTGTCATTATCATAATGGTCAATATCATAATTGTCATTATTATCATGGTCAGTATCATAACTGTCATTATATGATCAATATCATAATTGTCATTATTATGGTCAATATCATAATTGTCATTATTATCATGGTCAGTAATATAATTGTCATTATTATCATGGTCAGTAATATAATTGTTATTATAATCATTGTTAGCATTATCACCAGCACTGTAGGATGCAGTGGACAATAAATGCAGTGAGCAACTCTAACCTCAGAAAACTACATTTAATTTAGTTCAACTTTCTTAGATAAGGGTGGTCGGGGGGGTGTTGGGTTAGTTGCATGCGTGCATACTCACGCACATGTGCGCACACAAGACGTAAATTTGAAATGTATTTTAGTCCCGTATTATTATAGACTGAAAGTATGAAGTTTCACCAGCGAATTTCAGTAGGTTTAAGATCTTTGCTGAAACAAAAATTATGGATAACAAAATGTTGCTCCAAAGTAGAGTGGTCATCTTAAAACTGTTATTATGACATCACCATGTTCATCTGCACCCTGATGTCACATGCTTAAAACTCTTGACATCCTTAGTAAAAAATTTGATAGGTGACAAGAAATGGCATAGTTATTGAAATCTTGTCACACTTTTGAGGTTTCATTTAAAGGATGCCTCCCTCCCCCAATCCCCTTTTTTTCCATCCACATACTTGTAAAATAAGGAATTCATTGCTAGAAAGAAAAGCTGGCAATTAACAACAGTTGAAACCTTGTGCTCTGCAACAAACATGATTTCTGCTTCCTCTTCTTTTTTTTCCTTTTTTTTTGTGTGGCTTGAAATAAATTGTCTTTTCTGCAGTTTTGTCTCTTGCATAAATTTCACTGTCTTTGTTAGTTTATTAATCCTCTTGCTGCTATAGACCTAATTTTACATTTGCCCCGTAGACTGCTATGGGCGTACTTCTGCGTCCTATGTTTTCTGTGCCCTCACTGCTATGGAGTAAAAACACAATTTCGACTCTTCTTACAGACTTCTAAGGACCATAATTCTCAGGCGTGAAATGGCAATACACATTACTCAAAGTTGGATCCAACTGACCCACTTACATACAATTAAAAACCATGTCACATACATTTAGGTGTGCTTAGATATGCTCCACATTATCCTGTTGCTTTGTAACCATAGAAGTGTGAACTGTATTTTTTGCCCTGAAATATATTTTTTGTTTTATATTAGTTTACATTTCGTTTATACAAAATGGCAAGAAAACTGGTTAATTAAACATACTCAGCTCAGTAATTCTCCAAGGGTGTCGAGACCAGTCAAGAGGAAAGAACCCACTTCTTCCATAGAAGGTCATCTACTTAATTCCGGACACGTAATTGACACAGACAGCGCTTTCCATGTGGTTTATCACACGCTGAACAGGCGACTGTTGAGAATGGCCAAAGCTTTAATAATTAAAATCAACCTCCTTTGTAAGCAGACAGAATTTATAGTAAATTTGAAGTTACCCGGGTAAGTCACGTGACTACAGTGAGTTTTCTAAGGCCAAAACACACACGATGTGTCAAAAGAAACTATTCGCATTTCAGTTGGATTTATTACGTTTTGTGCTTCATTTTATGTTGATGTAACTCTGTAGTAACGCACCTGATGAGATACAGCGAAATATGCCTGGCAGTAAACTGTGCAATGTATTATTTGTGCCCGCATTATTTAAATTCATTACGGAAAAACATTGTTTTAAATGGTTAATTAAAGTTGATGAAAAATTACTGGAGTTTCTTTCAATGAGTAACAGCAAGGATCATTTTAAAATGTGCTAGTTGTGAGTTGGGTTATCACGCCCAGCCGGTGGACATGTGTACTTCTGGCCCTGAGCAAGGCTATCTGACCCAGCCATCAACATCAACTGAGTTCCCCAATGATCAACAAGAGGATAGGGTTACATACTGACATGATGATTAAAATTAATTTTCCTCTATACTATACGTCAGACATTGCATGTGTCTGTTAATCTATGTTTTTCACATTGTACAATATTGGTCTTATTTTTATTTGTTTTTATCGTATGGTATTCTAGTGTAGTGGGTATCACCTTTGCCTTACAATCGAAAGGTTCTATATTCAACACCCACATGGCTTTTTTTTCCCATTGTAAATGTTTATTTTTTGGTGTAAATTTTTAGTTTCAGTATTTAGCGCTTTTGACAACAAATGACCCAAGTATTCATAAGAAAAAAAAAGTAACACATTGACTACAATTATGATTACTTTTTCCCTTAGCCCCCCCCCCCCCCCCCCCTCCATCCATCCCACTCACCCCCTTGCGCGCACTTGGATTCAGGGGGCGGTAGCTTCGTTGGTCAATGCAAGTATGTAGGTTAGTGGAATGTGCAAGGGGGGCAGTAAGAGCTTCAGATGCCCTTATGACAATGACTAAACATATGGCAGCGGTTGATGATAGGGATGATATAGAAGGCGGGAGATTTTAAAATGATCTTGCACTGTCCTCCGAAACATTCATAGAATATTCTTGCTGATGATCGGAAGGCTACTGTTTTACTCGCTCCTCTGTGGAGTTTCAACTACATATACGGCAGCGCTGGAGACAAAAATGAAGTAGACTTAGCAGAGGATAAATTTTCTTTCACCATCCCTAGTAAAGCCAGGCAATTAAATCTAGTTTCTGGACTTTCTTTTCTGTAATGGCAAGATATCTTGACTTCGTCGCAGTGCTCCTGATTTGTCAGCACTCAGGCCAACCACCCACCTCTTTAGGATGTATAGTTTTAGTTGTTCAAAATATAGCTCACACTGCCAACGCATCCTTGCGTTTGGAGGTTAGAAAAGTATCAGCACAGGAGAAACAACAGCAGGGAATTTGCTTAGCACTGTGGTAACGATGGCTGCGGGGCATGTAGCAGCAACAGTTGTAAGTGGTCCCTAACATTTAACATCCAGTCTTGTTCTGTTTGGCCAAAAGATTTACTTTAATGTCTCATATCTGAGACAGTCTTGGGGTATCCCTTCTGCTATCTAGGGCAACATTCCAAGTGTACATATGGCTGTGACACCAATTTTAAATACTGTATACAAGTGGCTGCATAATTAGTTGTGCCCTGTATGATAACTGATTTAACCACATGGTCACTGTATTTTGACAGAATGCATGAGAGAGAGCTGCTGAGACGAGAACAAGAAGCAAATGGACTACATGCTGCGTTTCAGCAAAGTAAGTCTTTGTTCGGTGTGTGTTTGTGGACCATATTTTCTTTGAGAAGCTGTTGGTATTATCTATGTCAGTGGCTCTCAACCTTCCTACTGCTGCGACCCTTAAATACAGTTCCCTCATGTTGTGGCGACCCCCAAACAATTATTTTCCTTCATAACTTCAGTAAATATGTGTTTTTCAATGGTCTTATGCAACCACTGTGAAAGGGTCATTTGACCCCAAAAAAGGTTGCGACCAGGTTAAGAACCACTTATCTATGTGTTCTTATAATGAGTAGACCCCTGCCCTTTAACCCTGTCATCCTGAGAAAGTTGTTTTTCTGTTTTGTATATGTTTTTGATGACATGCAGTCTTTGGGCCTATGTATATAACAGTGTTGGTACTAATTGCAATGGTATAGTTTGTTGATGTGGTGAGTACAGTAAGATTTCATCCCCCCCCCCCCCCCCCCAAAAAAAAACATTTGAGATATTATGGGAAACATCAAAATAACCTCATAATGTGCACTCCACAGGGCTTCAACAAAACCACTTGTTTTAAAGTTAAAGGAAAGTAAAGCAGTAAATTGTTAATTCCATTTGTATTTAGTGATTAATTCTCTTACCTAAGAAAAAATTATTTCACTGATAAAAGTGAATTTAAAAAAATTAAAATTAATTATTTTAGCGATTTCACAGCTGTGATGTAACAGTGATCATCACTCTAGCTAATCTGCTTGCTGGTTATAGGTTTCAGTCCCCTGATTTTCTATATAAACTGACCATTACTTCAAATATTTTTGCTTGTTCTTTTCTTTGTCTTTTTTTTTCTAATAGAGTTTCAGAGAATTATAAGGATGCATTTCTTTTTAATAAAATTTGGAAAAAAGGTAAGTTTTTGGTGATTCTTACAAAGTGAAAGGGTAAATCAGTGCCCCATGAAAGGAGACTAACCAAGATTTGCTGAAATCACATGTTTTGGGAGAGGAAATGTGCAGATATCGTAGTCTAATTGTCAACCAAAACCAACTACTCTTTTATCGATGAATGCAGAAGAGGACATACCAGGCTGATAGACTGAGTGAGATTTGCAAAAACAAAATGATGACTGTGAATCTGCAACCATGGCCAGACTGAAAGAACAGCAATTTAAAAGGGGCGTGACCAGACAATAGCACAATGCAGGAAACAAAAGGAGAATAACTGGTGTCGTCAACTGCTACACACTGGGGATTTACTGAGGAGTGGATCCGAGCACTTATGGACTGAATGGTTCAATGTGCAGTGAAGATAATCTGTCAACTAACTAACTAGCAGAAGAAGAAATGCTTAAATGGTTTGGAGAGAACAGTAACAGAATAGACACTGCCTCCTCATCCCCCCGTTCTTCCCCAACAAGCATTTCATTGAAGGTGACTAATTAAGAGTTCTCTGAAATGTGACGTACTGGGCTGAAAGGTGCAAATATTGCATTTTAGCTATAAACCACAACACAATTTTCCAACTGCTCTAAAAAGGGACAGGCAGAAAAAGCAGAAGATTGCCTGGCATATTCCACTATTTCTCTTCAGGTGCATTACCACAGACTTTTCATCAGCATATAATGAAATGCCAGAATATTAATCCTGTCAGCCTTTCATCCTCTTCTTAACGTTCACCAACTTTAAACTCTGGCAGAGTGGTCTGGTTGTTCATCCACTTCTAGACTTTTGTCTTGTTCCAGAATTTGAGTTTTGCATGTACATCCATTTTACAGATCTGGCTTATTTAAATGCAAAATTTCGTGATTCCTCTTTTGTGTAGTCCACTTGTGTTTGAAAAAGGCTGCCTGGCCGAAACGTTACGTTGTGTTGTTTTGTGCACGTTTTCCTTTTTCCCATTTTGTTGAGCTTTTTAGTCAAATTTCTCTGGAATTCATTATTTAAATGCAGCCTGTTGGTTCTTTGCCTCTCAATCAGGCAGTGAACTGTGACTTTGAATGAAATATCCCTAATTATTCGTCTTCTACAACATATTTATTGGAGGAAAGGGGGGGGGGGGGGTGGCAGTGGGTCTGTTCTTTTTCTCTCCCAAAACAGGGTCCCAGAAACCACACAGGTTCACGTTGACTCTTGTTACACCATACATCTCACACTGGAAATCTTAAGATTAACTACATAATTACCAGTATATCTAAGATTAATAAATAGATCGCAAGGTTCATCTTGCAATATTTTATTTGTGTCCTCAATTTGTAATATTTCTGGAACAGCCAGTCAGGTTAGTATCAAGTCTGGCAGATCCAGCGACTACCAGTCGGATGATATAAACATAATTAATGAACCTGGTATGAAACTTGTAACTAACTGATTGGTTTGTGTGTTGCTGTGTGTGGTGATCATCCTTGCTGCCATGTAACTGATTGGTTTGTGTGTTGCTGTGTGTGGTGATCATCCTTGCTGTATGTAACTGATTGGTTTGTGTGTTGCTGTGTGTGGTGATCATCCTTGCTGCCATGTAACTAATTGGTTTGTGTGTTGCTGTGTGTGGTGATCATCCTTGCTGCCATGTAACTGATTGGTTTGTGTGTTGCTGTGTGTGGTGATCATCCTTGCTGCCATGAAACTGATTGGTTTGTGTGTTGCTGTGTGTGGTGATCATCCTTGCTGCCATGTAACTTACTGGTTTGTGTGTTGCTGTGTGTGGTAATCATCCTTGCTGCATGTAACTGATTGGTTTGTGTGTTGCTGTGTGTGGTGATCATCCTTGCTGCCATGTAACTGATTGGTTTGTGTGTTGCTGTGTGCCGTGATCATCCTTGCTGCCATGTAACTGACTGGTTTGTGTGTTGCTGTGTGTGGTGATCATCCTTGCTGCCATGAAACTGATTGGTTTGTGTGTTGCTGTGTGTGGTGATCATCCTTTCTGCATGTCACTGATTGGTTTGTGTGTTGCTGTGTGCCGTGATCATCCTTGCTGCCTGTAACTGACTGGTTTGTGTGTTGCTGTGTGTGGTGATCATCCTTGCTGCATGTAACTGATTGGTTTGTGTGTTGCTGTGTGTGGTGATCATCCTTGCTGCCATGTAACTGATTGGTTTGTGTGTTGCTGTGTGTGGTGATCATCCTTGCTGCCATGTAACTGATTGGTTTGTGTGTTGCTGTGTGTGGTGATCATCCTTGCTGCCATGAAACTGATTGGTTTGTGTGTTGCTGTGTGTGGTAATCATCCTTGCTGCCATGTAACTTACTGGTTTGTGTGTTGCTGTGTGTGGTAATCATCCTTGCTGCATGTAACTGATTGGTTTGTGTGTTGCTGTGTGTGGTGATCATCCTTGCTGCCATGTAACTGATTGGTTTGTGTGTTGCTGTGTGCCGTGATCATCCTTGCTGCCATGTAACTGACTGGTTTGTGTGTTGCTGTGTGTGGTGATCATCCTTGCTGCCATGAAACTGATTGGTTTGTGTGTTGCTGTGTGTGGTGATCATCCTTGCTGCATGTCACTGATTGGTTTGTGTGTTGCTGTGTGCCGTGATCATCCTTGCTGCCTGTAACTGACTGGTTTGTGTGTTGCTGTGAAGGTGATCATCCTTGCTGCATGTAACTGATTGGTTTGTGTGTTGCTGTGTGTGGTGATCATCCTTGCTGCCTGTAACTGATTGGTTTGTGTGTTGCTGTGTGCGGTGATCATCCTTGCTGTCTGTAACTGATTGGTTTGTGTGTTGCTGTGTGTGGTGATCATCCTTGCTGCATGTAACTGACTGGTTTGTGTGTTGCTGTGTGCGGTGATCATCCTTGCTGCCTGTAACTGATTGGTTTGTGTGTTGCTGTGTGTGGTGATCATCCTTGCTGCCTGTAACTGACTGGTTTGTGTGTTGCTGTGTGTGGTGATCATCCTTGCTGCATGTAACTGATTGGTTTGTGTGTTGCTGTGTGTGGTAATCATCCTTGCTGCCTGTAACTGATTGGTTTGTGTGTTGCTGTGTGTGGTGATCATCCTTGCTGCCTGTAACTGACTGGTTTGTGTGTTGCTGTGTGTGGTGATCATCATCCTTGCTGCCTGTAACTGACTGGTTTGTGTGTTGCTGTGTGCGGTGATCATCATCCTTGCTGCCATGTAGAGCTTTAGCTGGCCCTATCTGCTGGTTGCTGGCTGATCTGTAGTCCTGCATGTTTTTTGTGTGTCTAGATGCTAAATACTGCATGCAGTGTTCCAGTTTTGTCCCTCTGCTGATCAACCCCTGCATGTGAACTTTGAATTTTTTGAAAGTTTGAGGCATAAGTAACTGGGAAAGATTCATTGATCATCTTTTCTTCTTAACCTTATCAGTGTCAGATGAATCACCATGCATTCAGTTGTTGCTGTACACAAGATACACATCTTCTGTCACATTTTTCTGTTAGGTGAATTTATGTTAGGTTAAATACTGTTAGGTTGATTTCTGTTAGGTTAATTACTGTAGGTTAATTACTTTTAGGCTAATGACTGTTAGGTTAATTACTGTTAGATTAATGACTGTTAGGTTAATTACTGATAGGATAACTACTGTTAGGTTTAATACTGTTAGGTTAATTACAGGTTAATTAATGTTAGGTTAATGACTGTAAGGTTAATTACTATAAGGTTAATTACTATAGGTTAATGTTAATTGTTAGGTTAATTACTGTAAGTATAATTACTGTTGTGTGAATTACTGTTAAGTTAAATATTGTTAGGGTAACTAGTTAGGTTAATTATTTAGGGTAATTACTGTTAGGGTAATTACTTTTAGGTTAAGTACTGTTAGGCTAACTGCTGATAGGTTAATTACTGTTAGATTAATTCACTGTCATCATCATGATGTGGCTTGATTTATATCATCATGAAGTGCTTTGCTTACTGGCGTTTTGCAATCACATCACTCCACAGTCTGCAATTAACAACTGCTTGTATCACTTCTTGTGTTGACACCCCATCATGACATGGCAAAAGGCTGCTAAGAATCTTCTCATGTAGTCTTCCTCTGTCTTGCTTTCCACAGATCTTTCCAGTGGTCACAACATGTTTCAGTTTCCTTCTGATCATAACATAACTAAAAAATTATGACGATCTCTTTCTGATGGTTGTGATAAGTTGTCTTCAAGCCTTCACCTCTTTCAAAACATCTGTGTTGCTCTGTTTTTAAATAACTATACCCCTGTTGTTTTACTTTAACTCATTCTGTCTTATTATATATGAGGGGAAGTCAGTAAGTAAGTCACAAATGGTTATGGGATGGCAGAAAAATGTAGTTGGTGGTTTTAAAGACATTAGGTGACAGCACCATTGAACTTTATGTCTCCGTTCGTCTAGATGTCACATGTACATTCACAGCACAGAAACACAATGGCGACTGTATTCACTGAGTGTACCCCCAAAGAATAACGTGCTGTTGTGCTTTTTTTGTTGTTGTAAAAGGGCTGCCTTGAAAGGACATACATAAGAAAATGCTTCCTGTTTATGCTGATAAATGTTCATCCTGTAAGCGGTGCATAGATGGGTAACAAAATTTTTGTCAAGGAGTGCTCTGCGATTGTTGTAGTCCAATCTGGTCATCCAGTTGAGATTACGACAGACGCATTCGTGCAGCAGGTGGAGGAGATTATTAGAGGTGACAGGCGATTAACAGGCGACTCTGTAGCAGCTGCAATAGGGTGCTCACATGGTTTAGCATACAACATAATGCATGATCAATTTAAATTTAAGAAAGTGTGCTTTTGTGAATGACACAGAAGTTGAATGTGGAGTGAAAATGTGGTTTAGAAAACAGAGCACGCAGTTCTGTGCAGCAGATTTGGGAGGACTGATAAAATGATGTGACTTACTTTACTTACTTACTTTTTCCTTCCACGTATGCCGCTAAGCGTTGTGGGGAGATGCAAGTTCCTGTCATAAGCAAGGCGGGCAGCATCTGATGTTCTGAGGCCAATGATGTGACAAGTGCATCAATGTTGGTGGAAATTATGTTGATAAATAAAGGGACAGTGTGTGTGTGTAAAAATAAACGGTTTTCAAGTTGTTATCATATTTACATTTTTTTTAAACAACCACATGTGTCTTACTTATTGACTTCCTCTTGTATTATTTAAAATTAGACGTGTCGGTGACTAAAATATTATAAAAGCAGAGTCATAATTCTGACATATTAGGTGGGAAAGGCTGCACATGGTGGGAAAAAAATAGGAAAATATGGTTCAAGCTGGTTGTGGGATATGATCTGTTAAGGGAAGTGACAATGCATAGTGGCAGTGCTCACCTGTTGGACCAAAGGTCTTGGGTTTGAATCTTCATTGTTGGTCTCTTTTTTTGTTTTTTTTTTGTTGTTGTTGTAAGAATTAATCTTGGCTCCTGGGTTGATCCAGCCTAAAATGGGTAAAGTAGAAACCTGAGAAGAAAAGGTAGCCAGCATGATGCTGAGCATATTACTCACCAAGTGCTAACTGGTCTATACAAATCTGAATCTATCATCATATATCCTTGTACCAGTGGCATAAAAATGTCCTTTACTTTACTTCTGTGGCTTAGGCGTTGCGAACGATCTTCGTAATGCCGGGGGCTGGGTTCGATACCAGCTGCAGGCCTTGCACTTTGCCTGATTTCGACAGTGGTATCGAGAAGCCGACCGTCCAGAAAGCAATGGCAAACTACTGGACGGTAAATTTCCTAGAAAACAGGCTTCAAATGCTGGGGCTAGATCTGCAAAGTCCTGTGAAGGATACACCACTAACTTTAACTTAACTTTACTTACTGTGATCCAATAAAGGATACAGCGGCATTTAGGAGAAAAGGGATGTGATGGCAGGTTTAGTATAACCAGTGGAAGCAGTACTCCCCTTAGGTGTGTGATATTTCACAAAACGCAGCGGCCACTTCTTCAGAACATAATCTGGTAATCTTTGTGTGTGCTGGCATGATGTTGATCACATCAGCCATCGAGTGCTGGTCAGTCATCTGTCCCCCTACCCATCTGAAAGTTTGAGCACCACAGATTTAAAAAATCTCCATCTGGATGGCAAGCCAACAGGGCAAATTCAAGATACCCCTGGACACCTTCAGATAAGTGGTAATTTGGGCACCCATATCAACCAAAAAAGCCTGGTGTTATCAGTAGTCCTATGAGGATAAAGATAGATTATTGGCTATTACAATAGTACAAGTTCCCCCCTTTTGTGGGATGCAATTTTTTCTTGTTGTTATTTTGAAGTCCTCGGCTTGTGCCGGGGGCCCTAAATATAGCCGGGCCTTAAATATGGCCTAACAGCTGAATGAGGTTTTCGGGATCTCTCCACCGGTGATCCTCATCCACACTTTGTGTCACCAGGTGTTTATCGCTTGTGTGATGTCCTGGTGGGGTACAACCTACCAACCTTACCTATAACGATAGATGAAAGTAGACTGTGGGCACCACTCTCGCAAGTATATATATATATATATATATATATATATATATATATATATATATATATATATATATATATATATATATATATATATATATATATATATATATATATATATATGTCATTATTTTATTGCTGAATCAGTGACTATCACATTTGTATTTAATACTTAATATGGCCACAGCTTGCAAGAACAAGGTATTTAAAGCTGTTTCTTGTGTTTTAATTACTTTTTGGATGAGGTATTTCCCCTGCATTGGTTTTTAAAAATTCTTTTAAAAGTATAAATTTCATTTTTGTATTTAGTTTGTTTGCCTTTGAATCGACTCCTTGTTGGCCTTTAAAGAACCCAGTTTTTTTTAAATATATTTCATGTTGTCTTGAGCAGTTGTCTTATTATGTTCATGTTGTTGCAACTAACAGTGTTTGAAAACGTTAATCTCCGTTTAGATTCGCAGATGCACACAGAGGTTTTTGGCAGCAGTGATGTCATATTAGATGAGGACTACAGAATTTTGGAAGATGGTGGAATAGAAGCAGAACCAAGCAACCATCTGCGAGAAAGAAACACAGATAGAAAAGAAGGAGGAATCGTTACTGATTATGCTGAAGCGCATGTGATTGGTGGGAAGGGACCCAGAAGAAGTGGACCTGAACCAGGACAAGGTGGACAAGAACCCAGAAGAGATGGACAAGAACCCAGAAGAGATGGACAAGAACCTAGAAGAGATGGACAAGAAGCCAGAAGAGATGGACAAGAACCCAGAAGAGATGCACATGAACCTAGAAGAGGTGAAAATGAACTGGGAAGAGTTGGATTTAAACCAGGAAGAGGAAGGCAGGAACCAGGAAGAGATGAACTCAAACCGGGAGGATATGAATATGAACTGAGAAGAAAAAGAATGAGGCAAAACCGTGAAACAAGAGGACATTTAAAGGCTGTATCACAAGAGCAGCATGCCGGAGAAGCAGGTAGTCATTATAGACCAATCAGACATAGAGGACCAATATCTGGAGGCCTGCAGACTCACCATTTCTCCTTGGGAATGCAAGCTGGGTCAAGGTCATTGTCTTCTTCATTTGGACCTCTCAACATTGAAGGTTGAGTACTGTCTTTCTGTTCACTTTCATCTATTTTCACAAGAATGTATTTATACTATTCTAACTTTTGTTTTTTCATTTTATATTTTTATTTTGCTTTCTGGCTTTCTCCTCACTTTAATCTATTATCACCAGGATAGATGTATTTAGTCCTTTTTTAAATTTATTTTTTATATTTTTTTTAACTGGGGTTTTTTTTTTGGTACTTCACACTTGAAAAACAATATTACTAATTTCATGAACACATCAATTTCTTTGATTGAAATTTTTTTTTTAAATTCGCTTTATTCCTTTCTCCTCACTTTAATCTGTTTTCACCAGAATAGGTGTGTGCATATGTGTGTGTGTGTGTGGGGGGGGGGATTTATAGTTTTTCTACTTCACATGTTACTCAAAAGCAATGTTACTAATTTCATGAACGCTTTAATTACTTTCGTTTTATAGTTTTTGTATTTGCTTTCTGGCTTTCTCCTCATTTAAATCTTTTTTCAGAAGTATAAATTTATGTTGAAACTGAAAAAAAATCTGTTCCTTTAGTAACAGTATATCACAAATTAAAATGTATGTTTCTATTTCATGCACACTTGATTTCAATTTCTGTAATTTTTTATTTTATTTTACTATCTGACTTTTTGTTCACTTTAATTTTTTCCTTCAGCTGGAGAGATGTATAATATTCTAGTTTCTTCCCTTTTTTTTTCGTAGTAATAGTACTTTACAGATTAATTGTTATTACTTTTACAAATTTAATGCAAAGATTATTTCATTTCTTTCAAGTTTCATGTTTTTAATTTGATTATTAGCCTTTTCCACCATTTTAATCTATTTACAGCAAGATAGATCAATATTATTCAAATATTTCCAAACTTCACTATAACTGCAACACTTCATCCAATTATTTTACATAACGTTTACTAAATTTTGTTGTATGCCTGGTTTAATTTCTTTTAGTGTTAATTCCTGTTATCATATTATGTACCAGTTTAAAATTGCAGCATTTGAATATTGTGAATATTCTTACCATACTCCATTATCTGACATTTTTATTATTTGTTTGCTTACATTCAGTTGTGTTGCTGTTGTTTTTATTTTTGAATCTAGTGTTGCTCATTTGTACACTCTTTGACAACAGCCAAGAACGTTTGACACTTGTGTATCTGCTATTTGGCTGGTTCCATTGTAGCTAGCATTTCCAGGTACCCCCTGAGTGAGTTATATACATATGGATTTGGCTAACTTGATCTTGATTTTGTAAACAAAAATTCCAAACTTTGGCGACGTTTAACCAGCTCCTATATGAGTGTCGGTTATTTGGTCGGCCAGGTTTCTTTGTGGTTTATTCTTTGATGGTTCTGTGTGATGTGTTGCCACATCTCAGTTTTTTTTGTTTTTTTTTTACTGCTTTCCTTTGTTTGCTGTGCTTTGGGCTGTCTATCTGGCATGTTGGATTTGGCTAATGTAGTTTGTTGGTGTTATAGGCGTATGATGAGAATACCCTGGACAGATAAAAAGAGCAATGAAGACATCTTGATGAGAACTGACTGCCCACATCTGAAAAAGACAGTGTACATTCTTTGGTTATGTGATGAGAAGAAGAAAACTGGAGTACATCATGTCGGTAGGAAAGCTGGAGGGGAGGAGAGGCAGAGGAAGACCAAGAGAAAAGATGCTGGACAGTTTGACATCATGGCATGGGGGATCATCAGTGTCAGACTTGATTGAAAGCACATGAGACAGAACGTTGTGGCTAGACATGACTACCAACGCCACATGGCATGGACTTTAAGAAGAAGAAGAATGTAGTTTGTACTGACCACTGAGGAACAAGGATGTCTAAGAGACAAATTATGAGAAAACTGTGGGTGGATGACTTTTCTTAACCTGGGCGGGTTTTGCTAGTCACACTTGTGAGCACCATGAGCTGTGAGTCCCATGCCTCCTTATAGCACTGTGTCACACTGTCTTCTAGAAAGATTAAAAGTTGACAACTGTATGGATACAAAGAACAGTGAAGAGTCTTGGAAGAATGTAACTCGCGAGAATTGATTTCTCACATCAGAAGGAGACACTTTTCAATCTTCGGGCACATCCTGATAAGGAGAAAACGGGCATAAATAATGACAATGGGAAAGGTAGAGGGGAAAAGGGTGCAGAGGGAGGTCAAGAGAGAAGAAGATGCTGTACAGTTTGACATGATAGCACTGAAGGTTCTCTGTGTCAGGAATGATTGAAAGTACACGAGAAAGACATGACTACCAATACTACACAGCATGGACTTTGAGACGAAGCAGTTTGTTGTCAAAATTGTCATTGATTGGTAGTCACATAAAAGAATACATAAGAGAATATATGCCACTGAAACCCTCGCTTCAAGATTATTCAAGGTTTTTTGGCACTATTTGTCTGGGATTATGGAGAGGGAGAATTACTAACATCAACAATATGGCTCAGACTTATAGAGGAAGCTTCAATCAATCAGGTGCCGTCTCCACAATGAAGGTTGGCTGCAATGGATCTCCAACAAGCCCTGTCTCTTGCCCTTGATGTACACTCACTCATACTGCTGTTCGTCCATCTCTTGATGTTATCCTCCCACTTGTAACGCTGTCTGCCTCTTGCTCGCCTACCTTGAACCTTTCCCTCTAGGATGATCTTTACAATACTGTTATATCTTTAAATGTATCCAAAATATTTCACTTCTCTTTTTTATTTCACCTAGCAACTCTCTTTTAATTCCCAATTTCCTCAGTACCTCTGTATTTGATAGCTTTTGTTTCCATGAAATAAGACCTAATCTTCTGTATATCCACATCTCCAAAGAATTGATACGATTTTCCAGTTGTTTGTTCATTGACCTTGTCTCTGTGCCATACAGTAAGGTTGAGAATACATAACATTTGACAATTCTCATTTTTAATGTATTGCTTATTTCTCTTGATGTCAGTAACTTTTGCATGTTGTTTGAAAATGATTTTGGCCATCCTATTCTTTTCTTGACTTCTGTTTCACTTCTGCCGTCACATGTTATTACTGGTCCAAGATATAAGAAATTTTTAACTTGTTCCAATTTCAACCCCGTCACTGTGATATTCATTGTTAGCTGATTATTTTCTTTGATAAATATCATGGTTTGTCTTTTCAACTTTAATATCTAATCCAAATTCTGCACTCCTTATGTTTACTGGCTCCAACTAGGTCTTGAAATCCTGCTCAAACCTGTGTAGCAACACT